ATTCCAAATCATAAAACCATGTTATCTTTTAAGTTTTTCAACTCCAACTATATTGTTTACAAAATAGTCTAACATTCATGGATGAACTAAAACCCCCTCATTCCAAAGTAACTTGATTATGCATGAACATTAAAATTTAAAAAAAATACAATAATTCTCCTAAGAAAATTATTGTTACCCAGCACTCTTAATACTATTTATTAAAATGATGTAGTGATAAATTGCTCCTAACTTTGTTTTTGAAACTCCTAACTAGGCTTTAGAAGTAATATTGTGGTTATAATGACACAATTATTTTTTATAATTAATTATGATTCGATTGGTTAATTTTTAAGCTGATGCGAGTCAATAAATTTTTTAAAAATTAATTTATTTAAATTTTATTATTTAAATTTTTTTCTTGTTTTTGTTTCTATGAAATCATTTCACTCTTATACTTATAATTACAAGATTTGCAAGTTCACATGCTTTAATATTTCTTTTAATAATTTTACTCTTTCTCTAACTGCCAATAATGTCCCTTACTTAACCCTGACATCAACCATGCGGTATTCAATAAGGTTGTGATTGTTTTTCACTAATTTTTGTGTTTATGGTGAAACAAACATGCTAAAATAGTTAATAATAAACTAAACTGTATTTTATATTGTAAGACCTATTAAAAAATTAAATTTGAAATTTAGTTTTTATTAAATAGTTTTTACATATTTTTTTATTGAATTTTATAAAATTCTTTTTGTTTTTGTGTTTCAAAAGTAATTTTCAAAAAAATTGAATTTTTTATATTTTTTCTTTGCTTCAAATTGATATATTTTTTATGTTTTCAATTATTTTGTGTGCCATATCAAAAATAAATTTTTTAAAATAAAAAATTATTTTGATGCATCTCCAAATAAAAAGTATTTTGAAAAATAATTACAATTTCTACCAAATACATGATTTTTTCTACACATAAATTTTAATCATAATTTTTACTAAATCAAATTAACCACTGTTAACTACACCTTTTTTAAATTTATTTTTTAAAATTATAATCACAAAAATTATCTCAAAAATAAATATATTTCAAATCATGAAACCATGTTATTCTTGAAGTTTTTCAACTTTATTCATGTTGTTTGTTTACAAAATAGTTTTAAATTCATGGATAAAGTAAAACCCACCTGAACTGGATTTCAGCCAAGTTAATATTGATTCAAAATTGAATACAAACTCAATCCAAAGTAACTTGATTATGCATGAACATTGAAATTAAAAAAAAACACATACTAATTCTCCTAAGAAAATTATTGTTAACTAACACTGATACTATTTATTGTAATAGTATAGTGATAAATTGCTTCTAACTTTTAAAAAAATCCTTTAAATTAGGTTTTAGGAATAGTATTGTGGTTTTTTTATGATGACACAATTGTTTTTTATGATCAATCATAATTTAATTAGTCAGTTTTTAAGTTAATGAGAGTTAATTTAAAAAAAAATAATTTATTTTAATTTTATTATTTATTTTTTTTTGTTTTTTTATAAAATTATCTCGCTCTTATATCTATAATTACAAGATTTATAAATTTACATGATTTAACATTTTTTTTAATAATTTTATTTTTTATTATTAAGTTGTTTGATAATTCATTTAGGTTTAGATTTGGTTCTTTTTATTATTTTTTAATTATTATATTTTTAATTGGTCTATTTATTTATTGTTTTTACATTTTTTTCTTCATCTTTTTTAAAATATAAATTAAATCAATAACTTGTATCTCATAATTTTTTACCCTAACATTCTTTTTTAACATAAATTAAAAAAAAATATTCGGCTTGTGACAGATTGCCGGGCATAATAAAAAAGAGAATGAGATTTTTAGAGATGCAATTATCAAAGTATTAACATCACATATTCTGTTGGAGGGATCGGGAGCTAGTACAGGGCGAGGGTTTCACTCCTCACACATCCATTCCAATATTTCTTTTTTTGTTAACACACAACATTTGATGCTGGATTTACATTTTGGACTATATTTTATATATTTTTTTAAGATTTATTTTGTATAAAATACACATGATGGTTAGCTTCTACACTTTCTTTCTTTCTTTTATATATTTTTTTTATTTTATAATAAAAGTATTCTTAAAAAAATTTGCATGTTTATTAAGATTATTTAAAAAACATGACTATATGTGCACTTGATTTATTTGAAAGAATTTAATAGATTTCTAAATTCACACATTTCTTCTTATGCCATATTCTTTAAATTTAATCCATTAAATTCAAGTTAAAAAAATAAAATATAACATGCCATAAAAATAACAACTTAAATTTTATTTTTTTACTAATCAAAATTATCAAATTCAATATTATTAATTAGATTTAAAACATATACATATTTTAAAATTTTGACTCGAAACTATAAATATAATTTTATAATTGATTTGAAATATTTTTTATTTAGAAATATATTAAAATAATATTTTATTTATTTATTTTTTAATATTAGTATATCAAAATAATCTAAAAATGTTAAAAAAATAATTTAAAGATAAAATTAAATCTAAAAACAAACGTTTAACGGTGTCGTATTGAAGTGGGGAGCTGATTCATACTTCCTTTCCTCATAAAAAAAAATACAAAACTCCCTACCCAAAAGCATCACTTCCTCCAGATTCTTTCTTTCGTCTCCACCAAAATGGTTACCAAACCACTACTAGGCATGAAAAACAAATCTGAGATTCAGGAGGTACAAAACATGTGCAAAGTACTCCAACATGCTGCCAAGTGCGAAGAGGAATAATGATTAATGATATATGCTCCTGTTCTACTAAGCTTGAAACATGGCTGAAAGCAGTTCAAGCCTCCTCCATTGAACATCCTTTAAAAACGAGGAGCTAGCTAAAACCCCACAATCTTTCCAAAACTATAGTGGTTAGATCTTAAACAAATTGAAATGTACAAACAGAAAGTGAAGTGCTTTCTCTAACTGCCAGTAATGTCAGTCACTTAACCCCTGACATCAACCACGTGGTATCCATTAAAGCCGCGTTAACTAATTTTTGTGTTTGCGGTAAACCAAATACAGTAAGATTTTTGATAACAAACTAAATTGTATTTTATATTATTAAATTTATTAAAAAATTGAGTTTAAAATATAATTTTTATAAAATAGTTTTTATATTTTTTTTTACTGAATTTCATAAAATTCTTTTTATTTTTACATTTCAAAAGTAATTTTAAAAAAATTAATTTTTTTATTTTTTTATTTGCTTCAAATTGATATATTTTTTATGTTTTCCAATTTTTTTGTGTGCTGATATAAAAAATATTTTTTAAAAAATTAAAAAATATTATTTTGATATATTTCTAAGTAAAAAATACTTTGAAAAACAATTACAACTATACTGTTATAAAATATTTTATACATATTTTTTACTACACATAAATTTTAACCATAATTTTTACTAAATATGTATCTAAATTCAACTAATCATAATTAACCATAATCCAAAAACTAATCATGATTAACCATAATCCAAAGTAACTTGATTATGCATGAACATTGAAATTAAAAAAAAAACACTAATTTTCCTAAGAAAATTATTGCTAACCAACACTCATAATACTATTTATTATAATGATGTAGTGATAAATTGCTCCTAACTTAAAAAAAAAAAAAACCTTTGAACTAGACTTTAGGAGTAATATTGTGGTTTATTTATAATGACACAATTGGTTTTTATAATTGAATATGATTCAGTTGGTCATTTTTAAGCTAACAAGAGTTAATTTTTTTAAAAAAAAATTGATTTATTTTAATTTTATCATTCATTTTTTTTTTTTATAAAATCATCTCATTCTTATACCCATAATTATAAGGTTTGCATGTTTACATGCTTTAACTTTTTTTTTTAATAATTTTATTATTTAATATTGAGTTGTTTGATAATTTGAATATGGTTTTTTTATTATATTTTTTTTATTATTTGTTTAGTCTGTTTATTTATTTATTTATTTTATATTTTTTATTCATCTTTTTTAAATTATCAATTAAATCAATAACTTTTATCTCATAATTTTTTACCCTAACATTCTTTCTTAACATAAATTAAAAAAATATTCAGCTTGTGACAGATTACAAGGCATAATAAAAAAGAGAATAGGATATTTAGAGATGAAATTTCACCGACCCATCGAAGTATTGACATCACGTATTCTGTTGAAGGGATCGGGAGCCAGTGCAAGGCAAGGGTTTCACTCCTCACATATCCATTCCAATATTTTTTTTTAGTTGGCACACAATATTTTATGCTGGATTTATATTTTCCACTATATTTTATATTTTGTTTTTTTAATATTTCTTTTCTATAAAATATACATGATGGTTATCTTCTACTCTTTCTTTCTTTGTTTGTTTTATATTTATTTTATTTTATAATAAAAGTATTCTTAAACAAATTTGCATGTTTATTAAGATTATTTAAAAAAATATTTAAAAACTTAATTATTTTAAAAAACATGACTATATGTTATGCACTTGGCGTATTTGAAAGAATTTAATAGATTTCTAAATTCACACATTTCTTCTTATGTCATATTCTTTAAATTTAATTCATTAAATTCAAGTTAAAAAAATAAAATGTAACATGCCATAAAAATAACAACTTAAATTTTTTTTTTTCACTAATCAAAATTATCAAACTCAACTTTAATAATTAGATTTAAAACATAAACATATTTTAAAATTTTGACTCAAAACTATAAATATAATTTTATAATATATTTGACATTATAATAGTAGTAATTATTTTTAAAAATATTTTTTATTTAAAAATATATTAAAATAATATTTTATTTATTTATTTATTAAAATTAGTATATCAAAATAATCTAAAAATGTTAAAAAAATAATTTAAAGATAAAATTAAATCTTTTGAAAAAAATGTTTAACGGTGTCGTATTGAAGTGGGTGCTGATTCAGACTTTCTTTCCCCATAAAAAAAATACAAAACGCCCTACCCAAAAAGCATCACTTCCTCCAGATTCTTTCTTTCTTCCCCACCAAAATGGTTACCAAACGACTACTAGTCTAGAATAACAGAAACCCCCTCTCCCTCGTATCTGCAACATGGCTTCCTCTCTTCTTCTCTCGAACCCATTTTTGACCTCACCCCATCATCCAAACAACCTAACTCGTAGACAACAACCTCTTACGCTTCGGCCTACCTCAGCTTTTACTCTCCTGAATCTAACAAAACCCTCTAATAGTAATAATAATCCAAAATTCCTCAAACCCACCCCTCCTTTTCTGGGTTTCAAGAAATTTGCTACAAGAATCTCCACCGGAGATGCTGACACTGATACCTCTGCCCCCCCACCACTTGTAGGTGAGGATTCAGCCGCTTTCGAATTGGGGAAGCAGAAGGTATCTTCTTGGATATATTTCAGTTTGATTTTGGGTGTTGTTTTGTTTGTGCTTGACGTGGCTTGGATTGATAACTCTACTGGGTTCGGAAAGGATTTCATCAGTGCTGTTTCGAGTCTCTCAGAAAGCCCTGAGGTGGGTTTTATTTATTTATTTTTTGTTTTATTGCTGAATCGAGCATATGGAATTCTCACGCACAGAAATTTGTCACTAAAATGGTTCGAGCAGGCCTGCCTTATGAATTATACTCTTCATCTTAGCCGTTTAAGTTGCGTATGTATCATTTAGTTTATATATGTATATCTGTTCCACTGACATAGCTAGCTAGCTATCAACGTTTAAATTGAGCGAAATTTTTTCTTAGACAAGTGCAATTTTGGACGTAAAAGATGGATGTGAGATACCTTTTCGTTTATCTCTCGGTCTGGTCAGATGTGATCAGCAAGAAGTCTACGATTCTGCTTTGGTGGCTTTTTGTTGCGTGCAAACTGGTCATTTTAAGTTTTTGAATGATGGATAAATTAATCTCTATGAGATGCTAACCCCTTTTGTTTGACTGACGTGGGACGACCTGCTTTAGTGCTTTAACCTGGGAATGCCTATGGAGCTGCCTGAAATGATATGTTTGAGGTCGCAACGAACATGCTGAATGAAAAGTTCCAACCCCTTGCAGTTATGCGTCCAGGCTAATAGAATAGAAAATAAATGGATTTCTGCAGAATTCTTCACGAATGGATATATGGATATATGGATATTAATGATTTATAGGTTTATGAAACAAATATCAGATTACTTTCCTTGTTGATTGTATGTAAGAGATTTGGCATCGTAGATATTCATTTGTTACTTTGGTTCCTTTGTTATGTGAGATCTATACATCACTTTGCTTTTTTACATGTAATTGAAGCCTGCTTGAAATGTTTGCAGGTGGTTATGTTCATCCTTATTCTAATTTTCGCCACCGTCCACAGTGGTCTGGCAAGTCTCAGAGACATGGGTGAAAAACTTATTGGAGAACGTGCATTTCGTGTTTTGTTTGCTGGAGTTTCTCTTCCATTGGCTGTTAGCACTGTTGTGAGTTCCTGATCCTTTTATACAATTTACAACATGCCCCCTCCACAATCTTAGTGGTTTTCAGTTTTTCTGAATTCCTCATCTATACAATCTGCAACAGCCCCTGGCTGACTTCTGAATGGCCGTGCTGCAGGTGTACTTCATCAATCACAGATATGACGGCATCCAGTTATGGGAGCTTCAAAGTGCTCCTGCGGTGCATCAAATTGTGTGGCTTTCTAATTTTATCTCCTTCCTTTTCCTTTATCCTTCAACTTTTAATCTATTAGAAGTAGCGGCTGTTGACAGGCCTAAAATGCATCTCTGGGAAACTGGAATAATGAGAATTACCAGACACCCGCAGGTATGGTATTTATTTGATTGGCCTTTTACCAAGCAGTTGAATGAAGCGTTTCCTATTTCAATAATTAGAGTAAAAAATAAGCTACTTCTTTATGACTCTGATGGTTTCTAAGAGTCAACCTTACTTGTTATGCTATTCCAGTAATCCACTTCCCTCTTAAAGATCGTGTTGTGCTGGTGCTACTTAACTATGATGAGTTGGATATCTGGATCTTTTTAGCATCATTGAATTTAATCTATTTTGGCTGGAAAAAAATGTGACCTTTGAGCCATGACATGAGGATGAAATCCATTCCATCGCGTCTAAGTCAGGACACACGTCACTCTTCGTAACTGAAATACACTTTCATACTATACTTGATGAACTGAACCTGAAAACTTGCTTATGCAAATGTAGCCATATTTTGTCTTTAGATACTTTTGAGGGCTATCTAAATAAATCAAAATAATAATAGATCCTATGTAATGCTGAAACACCCCCTTCTATGGTCTCTCTCCCCCTCTCACCTCTACACACACGCACACACAGGTTTGCATGCACTTACAGTCACTCAAACAGAGTTGTGAAAGAAATCTACATTTATTGCTGTATTTCTTTACAGATGGTTGGGCAGGTGATGTGGTGCTTGGCTCATACAGTTTGGATTGGGAACTCTGTGACTGTTGCTGCATCTCTTGGTTTAATTGGACACCATTTATTTGGTGTCTGGAATGGGGACAGGAGATTAGCAACGAGATACGGGGAGGCTTTTGAAGCTGTAAAGAAGCGAACAAGCATAGTCCCTTTTGCAGCTATCCTTGATGGTCGTCAAAAGTTACCTAAAGATTACTACAAGGAATTTTTGCGGTTGCCATATTTGTCAATCACTGCATTGACTCTAGGTGCATACCTTGCCCACCCGCTTATGCAGGCTGCCAGTTTCCGGCTTCACTGGTAGGGTATGGTATCTTCGTCTCAGTTGTAAGAAATTGGATACAGTCTGAAATTACATATAGTTAATGTACAAGTCTTGATGCATTTTGCTTATCGCAGTTTCCTGTATACATGAATGAGGGATATGTATTATTGTATAAAATAGAACAGCCACAGCAAAGAATGCATATACGGCCGATTGGCATGTTTTGGTAGTGCAAGTACAAATTAGATTTATGGCCTGCGCGCTAGTCCAAAAAAAAAATTAATGTAAAAAAAAAGTACTAGGTAAAAAAATTTATGACCTAATTAGTAATTTAAATAATATAAAAAATATAATAGCAATAAATAAAATAAAAATAAAAAATGACTAAAAAAAATTGAGATGAGTTTATTTGGAGTATAAAAAATTTAATGTTTAATGGAAAAATTAAAATAAAATAAAAAGAGAGAGAGAGAGAGAAATACATAGTTAATTGAGTTAACTTGAAAGGAAAGGAAAAAAAAATATATGAAGATTAATTTTCAATGCCTTAAATATTAAATAATAAAATTAAAATTAATATTATGCCTTAAATATTAAATAATAAAATTAAAGTTAAAATCAATATTAAAAAAACTAAATTTAATTAGTATTAACTTTTAAAACTAATGATTTTAGTCATGAATCTAAAAATAATATTATAGAAGTCATAGAAAAAAAATAAAGAGTAAAAATAAAATAAAAAACATCATGAAAAAAAAAAAAATTGAGTATACTTTTATAAAATAAAAAACATCATGAAAAAAAAATGAAAAAAATTGAGTATACCTCTGAGACTTAGTTTAATCTCTAAAACTAGAAACCCATGAAATCTTGGATCTGAGTTGAATTAAGAAACTTAATTTCTAATCAATTTAATTTTAAAGAATGAAATCATGAAATAAATATTCAAAAATAAATTTAAATGAATGGAGAACAAATTTGATAAAAAAAAACTCGCGGGGAATGGAGAACAAATTTGATAAAAAAAAAAAACTCGCGAGGGATGAAATTGTAAAAATAAAATCTAAAAAAATATACAAAATAGATAACAATAAAAAAATAGGGATTAAATTTAAAAAATAAAGAAAAATGAAAAAGAGTGAAATTAAAAAAAAACATTTGTAATTTTATGATTAAGTGTGTACTATTTTTTTTTTTTAATGTGACTTGGGACATAAACAAAACCAATGAAAAAAGGTTGATATATAAGCAAATCCAAAAAAAAAAAGAGAAACAACAAACAATGCATGGTAAAAAAAAAAGTCATATAGAAGGCTAATAGACCAAAAAAAAGAGCCTAAATACTAATGATATAAATGAAAAAAAACATCAATTCTAAAAAAACATAAAAAAACTCAGATAAATCTTCTAAATTTGAAAAAAGATTTCAAACTCATAACTCATTAAATTCTAGACCTGGACTAAATCAAGAAGTTCAATTTCTAACTAAAAATTGAGTAGATAAAGTAAATTTAACAAAGAACAACAATTAAAAAAACTCAAGAAAACCTGTATTATTTTTAAAATTAGTGAAAAATTCTAGAATAAAAAATAAAAAATTAACTTTTTATTTCAAATAAAATAAATGTCAATTAAATGAATTTGAACTAAATATAAAAGAAAAATAAAATATAAGGGATGAAATAGAAAAAGAATCCAACCTTATAAATTGTATAAAAAAATCATTTCAAATATTGAAGGAAGGGAATAGAAAAAAATATAAATTTAAAGAGGTAGAAAAAAAAAACGACTAAAGAATGATAAATAAAAAAACTTAAAATAACTAAGTCATTTTCAAGACAAAAAAGAAATCCATAGAAAGCAAACTAAAAAAAAACCTAATTTTTAGTTGAATAAATACTGAAGGATGAAAAGAGAAAAAAAATCAAATAAATCTAAATAAATATCTTAAATCTGATCAAATATTAAAAATTCATAACTCATGAAACCTTCGATCGAGATCTAATCAAGAAGTTTATTATAAATCAATTTAAAAATATCAATTTTTAAAACTTGTTAAAGCAAGAAAACTATCAATTAAAAGAATAGATATTACACTTGATAAAAATAAAAAATCAAAGAAGGGTGAAATCGTAAAGAAAAATCAATTTTAAAAAAATTATTTTTAACAAAAAAAAAGGTAATAAAAAGAATGTGGATTGAATTTGAAAGATGCAAAAATTTAAGAGGGATAAAATTAAAGGGATACTAATTTTATAAATCATGCAAGATAAAAAAAATTATAATAAAAAAAAATCAAATTTAAAGAATCAACAAATTAAAAGATTGTAAGGGATACTAATTTTATAAATCATTCAAAATAAAAAAAATCATAATAAAAAAAAATCAAACTTAAAGAATCAACAAATTAAAAGATTATTCTTGAATATTGACATAAATATTTAAACAAGAAGAGAGAGGAGAAGAAGAGAAAGAAAAAACAGCGATGGGCACCAAACCGCTGTAAATCTTAGAAAACATATTGGCTTATCAGGTCAAGATGCTGTAACCTTTTAAATACTATACTAGAAAGCAGTGTTTGACAATTAAAGAACTCCATATACATTGTCTGAATAGTATGATGATTGTCTACGTATTTATGTATGTCAACAAGTTTGTTTTTTTAATTATATTCAATAAATATAATTTACAACAATGTTTTTGAATATTATTAAAATTTACAAAAAAAATAATGTAAAATAATTTAAAAAAACCTATAGATAAGAGTTTTATTGATTTTATTTTTAAAGATATCAAATTAATTATATTTAAAAAAATTAAAAATACAAAAATATTCTTAAATAATAAACATTAAATTATTTTATGAGTAATTTTAGTACACAGGACGGCTGGGACAAACTTGGTTAGGTAATATATGGGACCACACGCATCACATGGGACTGCTGCTGCTGCATCGACATAAAATGAAAGACGAGGACAAGGCAAGTGTTTGTGGAAGCATGGCCGACAGGCATACCAAGTACAACGACAGGAGCAAATTAATTTTCAGCTCGGTGATATGTCGTTCTAGGTTCTCTTCATTTGTTTCGGTACTGACATGAAATTTGCAATTTCTGTAGTTATATTCACATTATTGCAGAAAATGAGCTCTCTAAAGTCTATCTAATCACGTTTCTATATATACAGATATTATTGACAACCTTGTACATAATTCTGATATCATTATTATGACACGAAATTACAATGATATCATTAATATATCAATATATATATATATGTGTGTGTGTGTGTGTGTGTGTGTGACCACACACCACAGTACTAATTGGGAAATTACTGTTGATATAGACTAATTGACAGTATTTACTAAAACAATATAATAACATCTTTGCTCCCCACACCAAAAGACTTATAACTAGTTATTGGAGGCATTAAATGCGGCATATAAATCATTTTCAAATTGATAAAGGATAATATAACTCAATCTTACATCCCCAAAATTCTTTATGTAAAACATATTAAAAGTTAAAAAAAATGGTCACAAATAGAAAAGTAATTTAAAGGTGTCAAGAACATGTTAAATAAGGACTTAATTGTATAAAATAAAAGTTGGAGGACCAAATTAAACCAATGAAAAAGATTGAAACTTAATTGTAGCAATGAATGACCTAATTGAAGAAAACAATGAAAATTTACATCAAATTAAAAAAAATATTAAAGACTGAAGTCGACTTGCAAAATAATTAAGTTGAGGGACTTGATTGATCTAATAATTAAGTTGAGGGATTTGATTGATCTTTTGATAGGGTTAATTGATTTAATCAAGGGTTTAATTAAAAAAAATTAGCATGACCCAGATCGTAAATCTATAACCAACAATGTAGTGATGCCACGAGGACACCCCACCAATGCTAAAACTCAATATATATATATATATATATAATTTACATAACATTTTCTAATTTTTTAAGTATTGCTCAAAACCAATAAAATATTTTATAATTCAAAATACATATTATATTAAAAAAAAATTAATTTTGATTGAAAATAAGATAACAGTAGAGTGTTTAAAATATTAAATTTCTAAGAATAAAAAAAGTACCGTGGAAGCAAGCGAGATATACTACAAAAAAAGAGAGCAGGAATTCTTAATCAAATATCAACATGCTAATGGAGGCTAGAAACCTAAAATAATATTAAAATAAAGGAGTGAATTCAACTAACTCAGTGAAATAATAACATTTAATATATATTTTAACTATTTATAAATATAAGAACACATACATAAACACATATATAAGAGATTAGACAAAGCCATTAGCTCAACAAAATAATTATCAAAACAAATAAATATCATATTTAATAGAATTTAATTCGACAGAATGTGAATGCAAAATCAAAAATGGATAATTACTCAAAAAACAAAGCAACATATGTAAATATTTAAGAATTTATCAATTCTACTTATCATATAATCAATATACATGTAATATTTATATTACATACATATTAAAGATTCTCATACTCATCTAGAAAATAAAGCAAAAAACAAACAGATATAGAATCAAAGACTATTAAGAACTGCTAGTAGGAACATAAACAAAACTTATAATGGATATAAACAAACACTAAAAACCAACTTGATGCAAAAGACATAAAATATTGAAACTCTAAACTTTGAGACCAAAACATAATTATAAAGCCAAACTGATTTATTTAATGGATTGCAAATATACTACATACTGATCGAACATAATAAACCTGATTAACTCTTACTAGTAAGTCAATAGATTGACCAAAATGACCAACCAATTGAATGCTACCGTAAGCCAACTGGTCAATCAATTTAGACCAACTAGTCAACCAGCAATATTAAGCCAACTAGTCATCTAGTTTAGACCAATTGATCGATTAGTTAATTGAAATTTTTAGAATCCTGATATTTCAGGCTTCAAATCTACAGATCCAAAAAACAATCGATTTGTTCTTCAAAAATAATAATTCCAATCATCTAATCAATTTGTTTTAAGCCAATTAACACCTTAAAACATCAATTAAAATTTTTAAATCATTCAATCACCAAATCATACTACAAATTCTAAAACCCTTCTTTAATCCATCAACTATCAAATCTCTAGTAAAAAAATAACAAAAAAAAATACTTACTTGTTTCTTCAATCCTTATTAAAACCAGAACTTAAGCTCAGACTCGAATTCTTTAGTATTAGGAGA